CCCTTCGACAGATCGAAAGCAGCGCGAACAGGTCAAACGAGGCGCAAACACTTACTCGCCCGCCTCACTCCATCTCGCTCTGATGCTCGTTCTACCGCTTAACCACCCTCTCGACTCTTCGCGTTGCTTCCTCTTTTATTTATTCGAGCTGCAAGCTTCCTCAGAGGGCCGTACAATCGACTCGAAAAAGCTCCTCGATCCGCGATCGAGACTTGATCGAGACTACATATATAAAGCAGGGACTTTCGTCCCTTTACATTCCACGATTTTTGTATCCCTACCAATTGTAACGTATCCATTCTATATTTTAATGTTCAAAATTATGGCCGTTTAAAGGCCCAAAATCGTCTCGAATCATTCCCGCGCGCGAGTAACGTATAGAATCTCATCGTTTGCTATTCGATACGATTTGAATCGCAGGTGGGTCGCGATATGCGCGTGGTGGTGCATAATGGCCAGAAAATGGACGAGGACGGCTGGCAACTACAAGGAGGATAGTTTTGGACCACAACAGGGATTCTCAACCATCGCCGCCGTCGCTGCCTGGGGTCTCCCCGCCGCGCACACCATCGCCGTGCTGGTCACAAGGGATGTCGACGCCGACGAGTTGACCGGTAGGTAGTCTTGTCGCACGTCTAATTCCACCATAAGAGAATTTTACATAATCGCAAATCGGCGACACACTTTTGCATTTTCCGCATTTTCACGCTCGTCGTTGACGCTGATGGATTGCAAGAGTTTTTAGCCTGCGAAATGGGCCAAAATGGCGTGCGATATTAAAACTCGCGTTGGTCAGTCTCTAAGAAGAATGCCCGAAGCGGCTTTACGGCCACGCCTCGTTATACCGTTTGTTTTATGAGGTTGCACCATTGGCGTAGTTGGAATCCGCGGGATTCACGTCCTATTCTAGTCTGTGATAATTGTTTTTTTTATCCCCACTCGTCTGCCCATCTCCCTCTATACCTATCTTTATCTCTTCTTGCATCCTTTACCTTCCTTCCATCTATCTTAATTCCAGAGTGGTCCAGAGTTGAGGCTATTTTATGCTAATACGTACCGCTCTCTCGTGTTTATGTTCTCGATAAGTTATGCTCGAGAACGACCAGTCGAGATTAGCATCTTTGAATTAAACGACCGGTTCGGAGCGTAGCGATACAACCTTCGATTATTCGCGTATAATCATTATATTTACTCTTCGATGTGTAAATACGGGCAACAAATAAATATGCGGGATCCTGTGAATTAAAATATAACAATCTTACTTTTATTAAATATTATTTTTTATTCATTTAGCTTATTTTATACGATGGTCGAAATTTTTCACAATCATTTCGCGCAATGTTATATCGCGGGGTATGGGTTCCTCGCGGTATGGTATATCGACTTTTGCTCCGTGGAGAATAGAAAAAAAATCAAACTATGTCGAGCCAGAATTAATTCGTGAATCGCGGAAGAAATGTCAGCGATGCGCTCCACCGTCAGTACGTTGGACTGCCGCGACCGCATTCTCTCTCGCGAAATAAAAACTTGGCTGGCACGTGACAGAAGAAGAATCATTCTTTATCTACGAAAGTTTGCGAGACGATGTTGCTTGCTGAATCTGCATATTCCCGTATATATGCAATCCCATAGTCAATTTGCCGATGGCGGTATTTCGAATTATGGAGCTTTACCGCGCGTAAACATAAAGAAACGAGCCTGGTTAGTCGAGTTCCTTTCTCCATCTCTCTTCTAACGCGGGTGACATTCAATGCAAATACCTTCAAACTTGCCATGCAACTTGTCACTGTCCACCGATAGTTGGGCCAGAAGTTAGTTTAAGGCTCGAAACTCTGGCTTCTCATGCGTGTGCATAAGAAATTTTAGTCAGATTCCTCTCCTTATTACCGCTCTTATATATAGCTATCAAACGATACGATCCTTTCGTACCGTTTGATAATATCATACGACAAATAACGTGAGCCTCCCATCGGGTCTCAAGGTAATGTCCTTTCCCTTTGATTTCCATGTACATGTAAATATTTTAGAAAACGTTTCGCAACGTGGTGTCCATTTTCTGTTGCAGCGAGTTGTTTCGTCGGTCAGCAAAACGCGCATTCTCTGCTCGTATTAGTGTTGGCGCCTCAATTCGTCTACTTGTCGTTCGGCGCAACGTTCCTTTTGGTTGGCTTGGCGACGTTGATGTTACCGCGACGCCCTGCGGTGACGCCGACGTCGACGTCAATGTCAACATCAACGTCAACGTCAACGTCAACGTCAACGTCGACGTCGTCGTCGTCCTCGTCGGCGGCAACGACGACAGCGGCAGTCTTAACGGCGTTAACAGCGTCCCATGCGAATCCGCTGATGCGTCCGCAGCGGGAGATAGCCGGCAAATCGTCCCCGGCCGAAATCCAACGGCGGCAAAAGCAGCTGTTGATTCGCGTCGGAGTATTCGGCTGCCTTTACGCCGCCCTGATCATTTGTCTCACCAGCACGACTTTCTACGAATGGTGGGGCAGAGAGACGTGGCTTCGGGCACCAGAACCGTCCACGGCGCCGCGCGTACCCGCTCGGCCTTTCCTGCAGCTCTTCGTCCTGCGACTGGTAGTGACCCTCGGCGCCGGTATCATAGCCGCCGCGTGGATCTGGTGGCCGGAAGTAACGAGCATATGCCGCAAGCTGCCGCATTGTAAGCAACCACCGCACAAATGCCATCCGGTGCCCGTCGTGCACTGTTACAACGCTGCCACCGCCAGCAATCCCATACCTCACCAGATTCATCATCTCGGTCACCTGACGCCGCCGTCGCAGCATCCCCTGCTGCATCAACATGCGACGATAGCGAATTCGCAGATGCCACATAGAAACCATAAGAAACATCGAAAACACCGAAAGTATCATCATTCCGGTAGCGAAACGCAAGTTTAATCGCATAAATACGCATTCGTATATTTGCGCGTACACCCTATTCGTCCCGAGTGCCTTATATATGTATTTTGTATGTATTTTGTATGATACAGGAGCGTAGTCTGATTTTATATTTAAAATTATTTTTTTCTATTCTTGGATCTTAAGTGATGATAAAATTCCATCCAGTCAACGATAGCATCCGAGATTCCGAGTATTTCAAATAATCTCAGATGTAATCGGATTATAAATATCGCTCACAGATACGCTTAGAAACGACACGAATGTAACATATCCTTGTTTTTTAATTTCTCTTTCATACATGCACGACAAATCATCCATTTTAAGTTATTGTTCGTTAATCTATCATTTTTTTCATAGTTATAACATATAAATTTAATAACATTTCTTTTTCTTAGATTTAGATAGGATTGTGTACTTTCCATAAAAATTATAGAATAGAATTCTTGTTGTCTTTCGAACATTAAACTTAAATCGCGTCATTAAATTAGTATCTCGCCTTCGTTCTCGTATTGGAAGATTTATGTACTTTATATTATTACATTGCCGTGATGTAGTGCGTCTCAATGCATCTTCTGTGTATGCCATAGTAAATTTATCCGCCCAAATATTTGTAGAACGAGAGAACGGGGGAGGTGCTAAATTTAAACCTCGAAAAATCATGGAAGCTAGTAGCCGGAAAGGAATAATGCGTTTGTTTCGATCTCCACTCTTCTATTTGTGCAACATCGTGTAGACGCATAATGTACATAAAATACCGCGTATATACAACTGTAAAGTAATCGCATCTTGATTCTGTGATGTATAATTTCTAGCGGTGCGATTTTTACATACAATTTATTCATTGCTAGAAAATAAATTTTACTCTACATAAGGTACATCGAGCTTCTTCCATTATTAATATACTTCCTCGTAAAATTTTATATAAAAAAGTAAATGTGAGAATAAACGTATTTAGTGTTAAGACGTGATAACAAATTATTTAAACTGTACTGATAATACGATACATAATAAAGATTATATTAAAAATTTTGTGTGTGTGTGTGTGTGTGTGTGTGTGTATACACATGTATGTGTGTGATATATATATATATATTTCTATTAAAAATAATTGTATAATAATAAACTAAATTCTTCTTTATCGAGCCAGTTATTTAGGTTATGTAACAAAAGAGGAAAGAGTACGATAGATATACGCGAGAAACCTTTATAATTTTGATTTGAACAATTAGAAAAAATAGTTATATTATATAGCAAAAGAAAGTGATATCCGTGTTGAAGACAAAAATAAAAAAGTAGAAGAAAAAAAATGAGTTATTTGTTTTAGCAGAGACAAAACGAAGCAAGAGCTGCAAAAGTTGAGGTTATGTATAACTGATAAAACGAAAGGACGATATATTATTTGGAAGAACAACGTTATCTATTTGGAAAATAATTTGTCTTATTTACAAAATATAAAAGATTGTTTAAATATTTTTATAGTAATAAATAGGCAAAAAACATGGACGCTGATTTTGAGGAACTCTCGCACGACGTAAACATAATTGCTAAGCTAAAGCAATTCAGCGATGCAGTCTTCAAAATCCAAGATATGATAGAAATGATTAGCGATTCTTCGCTATATAATAAACTCTCCAATGCAGACAAAATTAAGTATAACTTGCTGTTATCCTACAGTTTCAATAGTCTATACTGGATGTACTTAAGAGCTGAGGGTACGTAAATCATAATGCTTAAAATTTAGATATTTAATTTATATTTGCATTAACTATTAAATTATTATTAATTGTAGGAATCGATCCATCAAAGCATCGAATCAGAAACGAAAACGATAGATTAAAAAAAGCAATGGTTCGAGCCAAACAAATCAATGATAGAAATACATTAATGCCACATCTTAACAAGGATGCTGCTAAAAGATTTGTGAGGAACAGTTTATGGGAATTAAAACACAAAAAACAGAAAGGCATGGAGAAGGAAACTGAGAAGACCCAAGAATCGTCATCTGTATAAATTATGTTACATATTTGTAACATAAAATTATATATACATTTTTTTATATATAACTTGAGGTTTCATTGCTATTATTATTATTGCTATGTGTATATTTTTTATTAAAAAAGTAAAATAAAAAATTCTTGATATAAATAATTTAATAGTCTTAGGATAAGCTCAAAGCAAAATTATAATTTGCATTGCTGGTATATTTCGTTTATATCTTATTTTCATCTTAACTGAGGATGATCTGTATATTGGAAATTGGATAATTGAAATATATCATCAATTGCTTGACTCGAGACAATTGATTACAGTTAATTGCAGTTGATGCACGTAAAGGATATGAGAATTATAGTAGGAAATATTACTTTATCTAAGGCAACGAGAAATGGACATGCCGTACTTTTTCAATGCGCAATTATTTTCATATATATCATGCGTGAATCGAGAGCACCTGTCGTACACTAGCAGAATACCGCATTCACGCAGCCAATCGCGGAGCACTACCGCGCGTGCACTACCATTGTTCTCTCGGCTGTTTCCGGTTGGCGCTCATTGGTCCGTGTTCGACTGTTCGATTCTCTCGACGTGTTCGTTCTGTCCGCTCCATCCGCTGATGCGCAAGCGACGCGAGCAGACGCGAAGCGAGAGTCGAGCGTTGAGCTGCATGCGAACGGAGCGAGTCGCGAGTCACATATTTCTGTTCGCATCTCGATCACCGCCAGTATGATGGCAGCCCAGTGGATCCGCACAGTAGTAAGTAGGCGCCGAATCGCATCATCCGTG